CTAGCAGTATTAAAAATACCCTACGCAGGATATTTACTATCAGGAAAAAGATCAAATTTTTTAGACTACGAAGGAAATATTTTATGGTTTTATACTTGTACCAAAAAAGTATCACCACTATATGTTTTTGAAGATAAAAGATGCTATAAAAGAATCCGTTTCTTTTATAAAAATAAAGTACATTTTGTTGACACACTTTCAAGACGAACATATTTCTGGGATACCGCAGTCCCATGTGGATCAGAAAATAGCCACAATGTAGTACAATTGAACCCAGATGAAGATAAATATTATCTTCTTACCCCATACCCCACATTAATGCAATCACTCAAAAAAATTTTCACCCGAAAGCATTAGAGCTATTGCTCGAAACCCAAATATCGATTTACAATCAATTGGAATATATTCAAAATCCGATATCCAACATCACATTAGAACACAACAATTCCAGGAATTATTAACACAAATAAACACTATACAAAGACAATCAATTGACCAAAACTTACGCAAACTTGCCGAAACAGCAGGATTTGCAGATATCTATACACAAGGTTATAGCGGATATTTTAAAGACTTTAAAGACTATATATATCTAAATGGTGAAAAATACAGACCAGCAGATATTTCACCTATAAATATTTTTAGCTTTGTTACACTAAAAACTGAAATTCTCGATTTTCTAGGATGGCCCTATTACATTTTAGAAAAATTAACTATTTTATACGCAATGTTTAACTTTATAGGATTTCTTTTTTCACTTTTGAAAGGAATCTATAACACATGCGCTATACACACACACAAGTAAATAGACAAGCAAGTGTAGCACGCATACTATTTGCAGGATTTTTTGGAATTTTTTTATCATCAATAAACAAAATCCTTCTAGACGCACAAATAAAAGAATATAACACAAAAATAGCGACAAGACAGAACACGTACGACGAAGAACATAATAATATGGAAGTAACGCCTACAGCACCACAGTTACCACCCCTACCACATAACCATCCATTATCCCTAGTCACACGAAATTTCCGAAATTTAGCAAAAACACATAATCCAATTTTTAGACCAAACATATCGCAAAGTCCCATACAACATATAATGACACATCACTCACAAGATAAAAATACATATGAACAAATTATCGAACAACCCCATACCACCGTTTCTCAGTCTCAAAATAATAATTTTTTTTAGCCCACGATGAGCCGACAACTTGGATCCCTACACCACTCGAATTCCCATCCAACCAACCTCAACACTCCAATTACAATAATTCCACTTTTTGCTTTCCCGTCACCCGATTTCCCAACTAGTAATATAACATTAAGCATGAATTCATACTAATTCAAATATTTCAGTTTTATACTCCATTTCACAACTCAATAACCCTAATATAGAAACCCCTGATGAATTTGCAGACTCCAAACCATCTCCATCCAATAATTTTCAAACCAACTCCTCAGTTTTTTCAAAGCCCCCTTTTCAACCAATCCCACCAAATAACCCACTCCCGTCTATTTCTACTACCTCTTATGCTTCACAAGTAACCCCAACCTACTCTTCATTTCATTCAGACCGATCATCCAATTCTCCAGATATTCCCCAAATCTCCCAAGAACTCGATAATTTTATCACCCTACAACAACAACTATTACACCCTAACACCCTCACTATAAATCAGATTTCCTCCACAATAGAATCCTCAAACCCACCTACCCCTACACCCTCTTCAGCTTATACTGCATCATTAGCACAATCATCCACATCCACCGAATAATCAAATAGCACTAATAGAGCTTATTGCACTTTTAAAAGAAAATTCCCAAACTATCCATTCCCAACCAAACCAGGAACAGCCCGTGAATATATTAATCATCCACACCACACCAACACGAAAGATTTTCTAGCAATCACCTTACCTTCATTTCCACAATATACTTTAAACACCCCTCACGACACTAACGACACACGTAGTTTTGTAGATGAACATGTTTTAATGCCTACACTTCATTGGACATCATATTATCATTTTACTAATCCCCTTTGCCTACCGTTATCTAATACTCATAACGATTTGGAAAGGAATCAAGATATGCTATATCGACTCACCACACCACTAACACATAGACAATTTACTTATATGGGATATAAAAAATCACTAAAAACATTCACTGCACCCCGAGCTAACGAATTTACACTAGAATATTACGACCATAATATCATCCGAACTAATCAAGATCAATTTTTAGATGACGACCGCTTCGCTAACCCACAACTAACAGAAAAATTTTTCATCAAAACACCATATGTATTTACACTCAATATATTTGATCGAAAATTTGATCACATCATTTCTGAAGCACTAACTGACATGCAAGCTTACGAAAGTTTTAAAGAAAAACTTCAATTATTTTCACTAACCTTCCACTTCCTTGCACCACATGAACGCAATTTGCACTGGTCACACGACATTATGTTACGCACTAAACAAACCCACACATATACATATTATCGCTTCATACAAAATCATTTTGATCTTCACACTCCATCAAGACAACCACACCACCGTTTTCAGTTTCTTAATTCAAAGTACACTTCGCCATTTTTTCTAAATTTTACATATTGCATCAAAGATACTAACCTCCACGGCATCCTCCGCAATTATGACCCAAGAACACAAATGTATATATTTTGTCCCATCACGAAGACCTTTAATGCAGAAGAATCCAACCCTTCCTTATCCCACATGAATTTATCCAACCTATAGAAATCCCTATATTAGAATTCATCCACAATACTAAATACAATCACAAAATGTATAATCTCATTCAAAACACACCTTATGAGTTTGCAGTTGGCACCGAAGAACTAAAAACTATTAAAGCACTTCAATTGCTTTGGCTACTCCTTCAAACTAAAAACATCATTCGCATACTAGCAAAATTACTAACAAATTCCGACATGATACGCGACATTTTCCCCAACGGTTTTTTCCCCGACGACTAACAGGTAAGTATAATTTATACATATTCTTCACTAACAAATTTAAATTAATACTTACCATTCTTTACTCATGTTTCATTTAGATTTTTAGTCTCCATCCCACGATCATCTGCAAAAAACCGAAAAAAAAAATAAAAAATAAAACTTGTTAAAATTCTTCTAAACTTTATTAATATTTTGCACTAGATGAATTTAATAAAATTCATACCAATGTAGTAAATTAATTTATAAATTGTTTCCCCAAAAGCAGTAAATTTCATAAAAATGAAAATTTGTAACTTAACTTTTCCCCAAAACTAGCAGTAAAAGTAAAATTATATGTAGTAAATTGATAAAATGAAAATGCAGTACTAACCTTTTGATATTTTCATTCACTCGCACAATAATTCTATCCAAACTCGCACAGCTCGCCCACGAAGAATTGTTTAAAAAATGAATTTCAGTTTCAAGTTTTCACACTCAACAACTCTAACACACGATAACAAGTTTCAAACTTTCCTTTAACCCGGTTGGAAAGGAATTATATACTAAACCAAACTAACCAACGCAGCTTACTAAACACCACAAATCATAAAATAACAGCATGACCAAGAAAAGAAAACCAACGGTACCCAAACCGGATTAACCCAGTTTAAAACTGGATAATTTATTCTTTTGAAGACTATTTTAAAGTCTAAAAAATAATCATAAAACACAAAAAAGTCGAAAGACAAACCCATAACAAAAACCATTTGATTTTTGAAAAAAGGACACAACCAACGGAACATAAGAAAGACCACCATAAACCCAACATAAAACGTTATCACATAACAGGACCTCTCACAGAAACCGCACGAAATCATACTCCCGCTCCTGGCCTAACCCACCAGAGAGGACGTCTTGAGCATGCTCTATAGCCGGCGTAACCCACCGCGCTACATCCACGCTTTGTGAACACACTTCTTTTTTTTAATAAGAGGTACTCAAGGGTGAGTAACTCTCCAAAATAACCGAACTAAAACAAAATGCTATTGTGAAAACAACTAACCAAAATCATAATTAAAACACTGAACTAATAAAAATTTTATAAAATTTAAATTATACTTTGCAGTATATAGATCAGCATACAACAACAAAGACGAACATCCAAAGACAAAATGACCCCACTACACTTGAAAAAGAATGGCCAAACACAACCAATATGCCGTCCACAATCACAACTCAAAGGATTTACAGTACGACTTGACTTCGCAGAAAAGGACTTCATTGAACTAGACCAATGACCACCTCGATGTTCAAGTATACGTACAGATCCGAGTTACAAGGCATCCCCTCCATGCACAATCTCCGCGCCATTCCCAGACGAGGTCGAACACAAAACAAGTTCTCTACATAAAACAGAAAAACCCGTCATAGCAAGCCATTCTGAAATCAGATTGATTTCATTGGGAAACACCGTCGTTGTCACAAGAAGACACAACGATTGATGTCCCTAACTCCAGCGTCCTGGAACTTCTCTAAAAGAGAAACCGGACAAGAGTACGATGTTCGCCAAATACCAACGTCCATCATCCATCCTTTGAATTGCAGAAAGATAATTCTAAAAAACTCTGTAAAACCCGGATGGGTGGAACCTGATCTAAACTATATTTTATGATTGGAAAAATTAGATATTTTACCACTGTAAAGTATTTAATATTAACCAATTATGATCCATCTAACTAACAACCCACTTATTTGTAAGTGCTGAAATTACTTGTAACTTCAGCACCAGAGAGATTTGAATTTAAATTAGAAATTAGTTGCCTCCCCAAGAGAACTTCAGCAGCCGCAACAAACCAGTATACCCTAGATCTATTGAGCCTAGCAGAGACTAGTTAAACACCCTGAGACTAGAAAGTATAAGAGTAAGATTAGGATCGGTATTAGACTAAGAAGTTGCACGAATCTATCCGGCCGAAAATAAGATAGCGTGACGAGCAGACGGTGTACCCTATCCGAAATTACTCTATGAGTTAACCACATCGGTCCTAACTCAACAAGAAGCAAATGTAGGAAATAAATAAATATTGAATCGAAATTCTGACTGGTAAGTATAGTGCTTGTCCTTTTTTAGACCGGTGTGAAATAAAGGTTGTCTTTTTTTGACCGCACTTCAGACCTTGCCATATGACACTAAAGTATACACACTGATCGAAAAAGACGTTTTTTTTTCAGTTATACGGCCTAAAATTATTAAACTGTTTATTGACCTTCTTCTGTCTGCATTGAACTCCTAAATAAACTTTAGCCGGCATGAATTTCAACCAATCAGCCTCGAGCAAGTTTTCAAAATAGCAAAATGATCCGTTTTTGTGACCTATAACGGAAAAGACCCAAAAATTGTTTTGTGAGGAAATAAACAATCTATTTCAAATAGCACCCGCGAGGGTAATATGACCAAAATAACCGGTTCAAAAGTATAAAGCATTTGTTTTTTATGCCAGGTAAAGAATTTTTCAGACTGGAACTTTTTTATTTTGTTCTTGTCAATTGTCCTTACTCTAGGGCAACAAATTTTAACATCAAGATTTGCTAAAATATTAGCAGATTCGTCAACAAATGATTCGTTTTTGAATTGACTTTGTTTTTAATGATTGTCTTAATGAATCCAGAAAAAACTGCCGTATTACCAAATACCAAATTTACCAAAAAATACCAATTACCACATAATGTTCAAAAGTTCATGATTGGAATAGAACAATGGCATAATATAAAGCTCCCCTGGGCGTTATTAGTACCAAAACAACAGCAATAAAATTTTGCCTCATATTTTCTTTCCAATAAATTTGTTGTGGCTAACTATATATCACACTAGAGGAAAAAAACAAAAAAAAACCGTGCTGATATAAAATTTCTTGACAAGCAATAAAAAAGTTGGAAGTTTTCAACGCGTTTTTTTTGTGAATTGTAGTTTTCCAAGACTAACAAATTATGAAATCAAAAGTTGCCAAACTTTCTACAGACCCGTGTTGACCAAAAATGCTTTCCATACAATTTCGTTCAAAACCATACGTACAAAAAATTGTAGGAAAACTCTACAATAAGTATTTTTTTCATATAAGAAAATAATATGACAATCTTTTTTCCATAAATCAAAAATTTATTGTTTATCGAGTTTGCTCAATATTTTTGTGTTTTGCCCGAAAGAATAAATACTTAATGATTTTTTAGCACAAAAACCTCAACTAGTTGAAAAGAAATCTCACATATATTAGCATTTGAGCAAACAAAATCTGCAAAATAACGGTTTGTGCATTCTAAGATTGATTCGAACTAATTTTGTTTTCTAAGAGTTTTTTTGCTCATTTTTGTCGACCTTTTTTATGCAAAATGCAAAACAACTGTTTGCGCATTCTAAGATTGTTTTGAACTAATTTTGTATTCTAAGAGTGTACCAGTATAGAAGCACACTCTTAGAAAACAAAATAAGTTCAAATCAATTTTAGAATGCGCAAACAGATAAGATTGTCGATGCGTATTTTTAGTTGTTTGTGAGAATTCATTTTTTATTACTAAATCTGGCCGTTTCACTATGTTAAAAATAACAAATGTTTGATTTGAAAGCAATGCTATTAATTCTTCGGGGATTCTTGGAAGTTTGGAGCAAATCAGCAGTCATGCAAATCAGCAGTGGTTTCATTTAAAACTCTCAAAAAAGAAAAATTCGTCAGTTAGCAGATAAATGAGTTGTAGTTTATCACATAGTTCTTCATCTTTCCGATACATCTGATAATATTTGATATTAACTTATTTCACGGACGATTTAACAATATGAAATTAAAATTAATCATTCTTACTTTGTTAATTACATTGCTTACTCATAATGCAAGGATTGTACTTGGCTCTGACGAAAAAGTAAGTAAAATCATGGGGACGCTTCTCTCTCAATGATTCGAACCCCTCAACGCCCAAGTGGTCCCCATTTGTTTATGTTTGAGACTTAAAATTTTAGCTGACCGAAACTTTCGCCTCTACCCAAAGAAAAACAAAAATCCATTGCTTACTCATAATGCAAGGATTCTACTTGGTTCTGACGAAAAAATAATTAGAAATGAAAGCGTGAGGCACGGGATCAAAATTCTGAGGGAAAAATAGCAGCATAATGATTTCAGTTAAATTTTAAGTTCATTTACATCTGGTTCTCCTAAGATTGATTTGAACTAATTTTGTTTTCTAAGAGTGTACTAGTATAATAGCACACTCTTAGAAAACAAAATAGGTTCAAATCAATCTTAGAATGCGCAAACAGATAGGGTTGTCATTGCGTATTTTTAGTTGTTTGTGAGAATTCATTTTTTATCAATAAATCTGGCGGTTTCACTAGGTTAAAATTGACAAATGTTTGATTTGAAAGCAATGCTAATTGTTCTTCGGGGATTCTTGGAAGTTTGGAGCAAATCAGCAACCTTTCTGACACACCTGATGATGTTTGATATCAACTTATTTCACGGAAGATTCAGCAATATGAAATTAAAATTAATCATTCTTACTATATTAATTACATTGCATACTAATAATGCAAGGATTGTACTTGGCTCTGACGAAAAAGTAAGTAAAATCATGGGTGACATGAGCGGCTTATAAAGGGGGGTTGCGGAGGCTTCTCTTTCAATGATTCGAACCCCTCATCGCTCAAGTGGTCCCCATTTGTTTCTGTTTAATTTTCGGCTGATCGACCCGAAAGTTTTTCTAAAGGCGCCCTGGACACCAGTATATACACATTATGATGGGGAGGGGGCATCTCATTTGGTCTGTTTGAAATTACTAATCATAGGCTAAACGAGGGGCGGATTTAGGGAGATGAGCGGAGTTCTTCCTCAAAGAGATTTGACCCCTGACCACCAAACCGATCTCATCGAAAACTATTTTAAACGACCTCAATTTTTGGAGGTCAACCTTAGAAAATTTTCTAGAGGGTTCTTTGACGCCAATATTTATTAAGTTCCAAGAGGAGGTGAGCCAAAATACCAAATTTTGACCTTTTTTTTGGAAATATGTCGATGCGAAAAATTACTCACGTAGGTTTTTATCGTGTTTTTGGAGAGCACGGGAAATCGATTTAGTGGATCTAAAAAATTCGAGTTTTTACAAAAAAAATTGTTTGAAACTTTCGCCTCTACCCGAAAAAAATCAACGTTTCGTAAATCCAACTCTAGTCCAAATACAACCTAGTAAAGAGAAAAATCAGGGAGGAGAAGCTCAACCTTCAGGTTTAGTTTGCTGATTAAAATAAACCGAACAAAACGAATTAAACAGGGAAAAAACGCTTTTTTGTAAAATTGGGAAAATTGGGTTGATTTTAGATAAAACATAAAACAAGAAGAGATGAAAATGAGCCTAAAATTTCACTGAAATCATTATGCTGCAATTTTTCTCCCAAAGTTTTGAGCCCATACTTCACGCCTTCATTTCTAATTGTTTTTTTTTGATCTTTTCGTTTAATTAAAGGTTAAAGTACTGGGCCAAAGGTTAAGCATACTTTATGAAAGTGAGCTTTGTTTGAGGTCTCAAGAAAACTGTGGAAGGATTAATCTCGAAAAGTGTGCAACTGCGTATTGAAATAATTTGGATAAAATACTAGCAAAGAATATAGAAAACAATTGACAATTTTTGTCGATCTTAAAGAAAAACTTTTTGTTTCTAAAGTTTGAAAAAAATTGATGCAAAAAAAAACAATTTTATTATTTCTGGTGAAAATCTCGCCAATTTTATTATCACCCGCATCCAAGTTTAGGCGTAAGTAATCGATTTTAACGGATTATTATGATGATTTTTGGTCAATTATAATTGATTATAATTACCAAAATTAGGTGTTCAAAGGATTTATAATTGGTTATAATCGTGGTATCTTCCAAGAGATTATAATCTCTTATAATCGATTCTAATTGATTATAGTTCTTACAAAAACCCTTAAAATCAATTATAATCGGTTATAATTGAATACAATCTCTCAGTTTGCCAAAAGTTTGTACATTCAAAACTATATTCGAAATATATCTTATGGGTTATTATTTTTGTGTCAATAAGAAAATCTCTAAAAGAGAGACCTCTTGAACACTTTGGATCATCTGTACACAAATTTTTACCACGAAACAAAAGTTTGGAAAGGTGGAAAGGTTCCCGCGGTAAATAAAAAATAAATCTTCCGAATCAAACGTGAAACTTATTTGATTTGCTGATTTTTTGGTGTTTAAAAAGGCCTAAATTATGCATCACAAAACAACTCTAATGGGGAGGAAATGAAAAAAAAACTTATAAATTTGAATTAATTGGAAAACTTAAAAGAAATTCTTTATTTTCATAGAAACTAGCGTCTACAAAAAGCATAAAATATAAGCAGTTTAGATGCAACTTCGAAGACAAAATGGACAAACAAAGGTGATTACAATCAATTATAATCATTACAATCAAATACAATTTTGGATTTTTGTGCAAAATTAAAGATTTAGAAATTTGAATAAAAATAATGGATTATAATCAATTACAATCGATTATAATTAACTATAATTTGATTTTAAAAAGAGAGATTATAATCGATTATTAATTGATTAAAGTCGATTTTTTCTCAATTTTAGTAAGACTGGTACTAAAATAGTAATATAAGCGATTATTAAAACTTGAAACCGGATGCGGGCATGACTTTTTGTCTACCCGAGTCGAGATTTTTCACCTAATTTGAAGCAAGATTTGAGCGGTTTGAGCGGTTTTTGAACGGTTTATCTAAAAAAACCGCTCAAAAACCGCGCAAGATTTGAACGGTTTTGAGCGGTTTATCTAAAAAAACCGCTCAAAAACCGCGCAAGATTTGAGCGGTTTTTGAGCGGTTTATCTAGAAAAACCGCTCAAAAACCGTTCAAATCTTGCGCGGTTTTTGTCAAATCTTGCGCCGCCTCCGCCTTGGTAGCGAGGAATGATTTCTTGGTAGCGCCGTCTCCGCGATGGTCTGGAAAGTCGCACCGTATCCACCTCAGTCGCGAGGAATATAATCTAGGTCGCGCCGTCTGCACCTCCGTCTGGTAAGTCGCGCCGTCTCCGCCTTGGTCTGAAAAGTTGCGCCGTCTCCACCCTGGTCTGGAAAGTCGCACCGTATCCACCTCAATTGCGAGGAACATAATCTTGGTTTCCACCTCGGTCTGAAAAGTCGCGCCGTCTCCGCATTGGTCTGAAAAGTCGCCCGTCCCCGCATCGGTCTGAAAAATTGCGCCGTCTCCTCGTTGGTCTGAAAAGTCGCGCTGCCTCCGCATTGGTCTGAAAAGTCGCCCGTCCCCGCATTGGTCTGGAAAGTTGCACCTTATCCACCTCAGTCGCGAGGAATAAAATATTGGTCGCGCCGTCTCCACCTCGGTCTGGAAAGTCGCACCGTCTCCGTATTGGTCTGGAAAATTGAGCCGTCTCCGCCTTAGTCTGAAAAGTTGCACCAAATCCACCTCAGTCGCGAGGAAAACAATCTTGGTCGCGCCGTCTCCACCTTGGTCTGGAAAGTCGCGCCGTATCCACCTCAGTCGCGAGGAATACAATTTTGGTCGCGCCGTCTCCACTTCGGTCTGGAAAGTCGCGCTGTATCCACCTCAGTCGCGAGGAATATAATCTTGGTCGCGCCGTCTCCACCTCGGTCTGGAAAGTCTCACTGTATCCACCTCAGTCGCGAGGAACTTAATTCTGATCGCGCCCTCTCCACTTCGGTCTGGAAAGTAGCGCCGTCTCCACCTCGGTCGCGAAATCCCTGAAAAACCTGAGGGCGCACCGTTTCCTGAGTCGCACCGTATCCAACAGGGTCGAGAAATCTCTGAAAAACTTTCTTTAAGTTGCGCCGTCTCCATGTTGGTCTGGAAAGTCGCGCCGTCTCCATCTTGTTCTGGAAAGTCTGGAAATAGCTAGGTTAGGTCACGCCGGTCACGCCATTTCCTGACTCGCAGGGTCGCGCCATATCCGCCTAGGTCGCGAAAGTCGCGCCTTAGTTTTTCGGTCGCGAAAGTCTGGAAATGGCAACTCTTGGTCGCAAGAGTCTGGACATACCAAATATGAGTCGCGATGTTTTGGTCGCGCCACCTCTGCTTCGGCGCGATAGTCGCAATAAATCATCATGGTAGCAAAAGTCTGGAAATGCCATGTTTTGGTCGCCAAAGCCTGGACATGCCTAATTTTGGTCTGGAAAGTCTGGAAATGCCAAAGATTTGTCGCGAAAGTATGGACATGAGTTTAGGACCTCGACCCGGGAAGACCGCTCAAAAACCGCTCAAAAACCGCTCAAATCTTGCTTGAAAAACCGTTCAAAAATCACCGCAAGAAATGAGCGGTTTTTGAGCGGTTTTTTAAGCAAGATTTGAGCGGTTTGAGCGGTTTTTCCAAAAAAACCGCCCAAACCGCTCAAACCGCTCAAATCTTGCTGGAAAACCGCTCAAACCGCTCAAATCTTGAGCGGTTTTTGAGCGGGATCTCGACCCGGGTAATTTTAGCCCAAATTGAAAACACGTGTTCAGTAGTCCCAGTTTTCTTTAATTTTATCTCGACAATCAAAATCAGCACTGTATTTGATTGACTTGTTTGCATTCAGGTCAGCAAACCGTCCTACGCGGCTTTTAAAATACGCGAGAATTGATATTTTGGACAAGGTGACTTTCGTAACAAAGGATAAGGCTATTTCTTATTTGGTAAGTTCGATCGGTAATTACGTGAACTTATTTGGTAAGTTCAATCGGTGATCTCGCATAGTTAGTATTTCTACAGATATGGCTTTTTGTATGCATCGGTGTGACTTTTTGAAGAGAAGAATTTTATTTTTTATTTATTATTTCTGTTGATTTCATTTTTTAAAACCTAAGTAAATTAATATGGTTTTAGGTATTTGATTAAAA